AAAAATTGTTCAACTGCAATTACACCTTCATTATTTATCGTACCGTATAGTTCAACAATTAAAACTGGAAGTATGCTGGATAAAACAAAAAAAAAACGAGCGCATAAAAATATTCCATTCACAAAACCAGTTCATCCATGCTGAAAGTTTTTTTGCTTTGAAATCTCGGGTTAAAATACATGGATCGGATACTTTTTTTCAAAAATACGAGAAACGTTTGGTACATTCTGCAGTGGTTTATATGTATGCCTAGAAAAAACGGATAATTTACAATAATATAATTAGAATTTACTTTTATATTCGAAATAGTAAATTTTATACATAAAATGTATTTTTGAAAAATACGATATATTTTTGGTACTCCCTGCATTTCCATTATAAAAAGTAATTTTGTATATTTTCTTCCCTTAAACATCCAGTTTAATTAGTTTAAATTTTATATTCCAATTTTATAGCACAAAAAATATAAATATAATTATTAACTTTTATCATTTAATCATTAGAATGCTATAATAAAATATTGCATATGAAAAACAGTTTATCATCCCTGCTATAAGTTTAAGACAAGATTGGTTTATATGGATATCTATAAAAATGTTTTTTATTTCTATTATGTAAATTATTTGTTAACTTTTTTCTTCCCTGAGACATATAGTTTAATCAGTTTCAATTTCTGTTATTCGAATTTAATATCACGTGTACAAAGAAATATAAATATTTAGTTGCATTGAAATAAATCAGAGAGAATATAATCGAATTCAGCATTTCAGATTTTTTTGTGATAAAGGGCTTGGCTGGTTACAACTTTTTTACTAAACAAGTGTTGAACAGCTAAATAATAAGTTTTGAAATTTGGTATTTACCGAAATGGGGGACTTCTTTTAATGAAATTAGGAAAAAGGTATTAATTCCAGAGACAACGCAGAGGCTGATCTAATTGTTGCCATTGAAACAAGCTATTTCCGTTTCAAAAAACGTAGACACGCATTTTTACATATTTTAACGTAATATTAGATTGTAGTGAGGATTAAATATTTTTTGCTTTGGTTTTTAGTTATATGTAGTTTAAAATGGATAAAATCAGATAAAACGTTTTTGAATCATTAATAAAAAACCGCTTCATTATAAACAAAAACTTGGTACCCTGTATCTTGAAATCAAGTAAGTATGGAACAAAATCCTATTTTTACCTAAAAAGTCGATCTTGACGTTTGCCATTATAACCCTGCGCACTCTCTACAACAAATTTGCTTTTTTTTCAAGAAGCACCTTAGACTAGGTCAAATAATGTTAGTCTATCATGAATTCGTATTTGTTCTGTGTCTTTTACTTTCCTTATAAAATTCAGAAGATGTTTTAAAAATTTCAGATATTGACTATGGATTTATAAGTCGTACAGAGCTTAGTATCAAGAATTGGTTTTTTAAAGATACAGTATACCGCTAATCAAAATATATAGTAACATTTATTTATTAAGTAAAGTAAAGCGGCTGAAGAATTGCATCAGGAAGTAGAGGTTAAGTTCTGAACCGAACAGGCCCTTAGCACCTTTCTCAAAATCAAGCAAATGCTTTAAAACTAAAATACTACATAAACGATATCGAAATGTAAGCAGCTATATTTATAATATATCCTGAGACGGAATAGAATTCTGGACCCTGCAAGTCACCACAACGAGGAACACTGAAGCCTTCAAAATGTTTATTTATATTCGTCTTATGTGGGTATGATCATGCATCGCATGAATCATGAACGAGAGCTATCAAGGAAACATACAAATGAATATCAATGATAAAACTGAAGTGAAGCGAGGTCCAGGAATGAACGTTCAAACGCTCAGGATAGCAGAAAGATGAAAAGAATTTGCCGTGGTTATCACGAATCTGCGCAAGTGAACAAAAAGAAGGTGGTTAATTACTAACGAAAAAAAAATAATAATAAGCAACCAATCAGGAAACAGCGGTTGCATGCGGGTCGTTTTTGTTTTAAATCAGAACCAGCCGATACGGTTTTGGTTCAAATAGCTTTTTTTTATGTTTACCGAAATCCACTTATCGTTTGTTTTGACTAAACCTTGACTTCTCGTGAACCATTTTTGTGCAGTCTGATAAAGTTAATTTTAGCCGACATCCCGCACATTATTGACCTCGATACAAAATGGTGCAACGAATTTTCGGTATTCTTCCCCTTGCCGAGGAAAATTAAAAAAAAACGCCTCGACACACTCACGGCTTGGATATTGTCGGTCTACCTTTTTTTTTTAAAGAAATCTAACTCGCACTTCATATCGTGTTTTTTCCACCCTGTAGTTAGTGCGTAAAAAATAATAAACTGTCATTTGTTTTACTTACTCCCGTCTGTAAAATGCCTAATTACACACCGATCTAGCGTGCGGGAAGCGTCACTTTACCACGTCAGTTTCGTATCCCACGAATCCGAACCGCTTCGGACATTTCCGGGATTTTACCGCACGGGTTTGGGAGCAATCGGATGTTTTCGGAGATATTTCCCACGCTTTGAATTTTAACGTGTTGCTTTGCGAAAATGTACCCTAAAACTAACGATCGTAGAAAAAGTGTAGTATACCAACACGTTCGGTAAACTTTCAAGTCAAGTGTTGGTATTTAAGACAAACGACTTTTTTATTTGAATTTTTATACTTCTTCAGTTATTTATTGGCCACCCCGTATTAATTTATCTTCAAAATATCAATATAGACTGCTTAGTTAGTAAATCAACCCCAAATATAAAACAAAGGCTTTCAGTAAGAGAAATCGATAGATATATTCAGACCGGCAAACCACTTTTATATGAAATTCAAAATTTCGGAAAAACGACATATATGAAGTATTCCATGAAGGTTCAAGATTGCCTACATATAGAGTTCCATTTAAAATAAGGAAGTTGTTAGTTGAGGCAAATTCTTTTCTAAAAAAACCCCTGCGCGCTGCTGACTTTTTTCTATGATAGCAAATTTAAGACCAGTTAAAAGCTGTGATATGTATTGTATTGAATATTTTTATTTTTTAAAGATATTTATGGCCCTAAATATAAGTATAATTAAACTTTTTAGATAAAATTCCAGTAAGTGGTGAAAACGGATACCTGGAGCTACATCTTCATCTTCTAACAAATAGGAAGATTTTGTTGAACTCCTACGAATGCTAGTTCTATGCGTTCAAGTTCAACGGTTTGTATCGGTTTCTTATAAACAAGTTCCTTTAAATATCCCCATAAATAAAAATCTGAAGGATGTACCTTACTTTTCCGAAAGATACACCCTGTAGCTGCGAAACGGTCCCGTTTTGGTATAAAAAAAGGCTTATTTTTAATTGAGGAAACTTCCCTTCAACGACGGCACATGCTTTTTGAAACACCCTGTATACAACGACATAATACAAATCCGACTGTTTAAAAAAAGATGACACGTTAGTTGAAATGTTGTATTTGCTCTTTTTTTCTATCGATAATATGTAACAACCTTTTAAGCGAACCCATAAATACGCGCATTTTAACGATAGGGAAAGGGCGACGGAAAGGGTAATTGCTTTAATGCGGCCACATATTATTCCATTTAAATTTCATTAACAATTTGTCTTCATTCAAAATATATGTAAAGTGTGTCTTAAAGTATATTGTCTTTGGTTAGTTTTTTTCCAAAAAGTAACTACGACGTTCAGACATATTGTTACCGGGTAAAATTTTTTATTTTATGTCATGAGTACACAGAGATTCCCTCAAACTTAAAAAGTGGAAAGCTAACATTGCTGAGTCTGGGGCATCTATTGGTCTTTGGACGTTGTTTCTGTTGAACAAAAGAAGTTTAAAGTATGGGTTATTTTAGGCATCTGCTCAGATAGAAGAAGCTATAAGTATAAAAAGAAAAAAAAATGGCACAAAATTACAACCCTTTACCGTGGTAGGAGCGCCCACAGTCACTAAAGTTACACCTACATTAATATCTCTGGATAATGTAGGTTTTAGAGCATCATGCACCATATATTTTTTTAAAAGGAAATAAAATAGTTGTCGAAGTTCCACTAGCCAAACAAGTGTAGTATAAAGATAGCATCTCTTAACTTCTTAAAACTTAAACGATTTAACTGCAATCGACAATGGAACAATAAACTTGCGTGCAAAGAAATCGGCCAACCAAATTTTTGACATTGGTATTTTTTTTCCAGGAACTATCCGTCTAGCCCAATAAATAAACATTCTATTTGGAAGACAATTTAATATGCTGAGTCCACAATTAACTATTACGAAAACGCAAAACAAATTAGATTTTTCCATTTACCATAAAGCTTCACACACGGACACAGTCATACATAACAGTTCAAATCACCCTTATACACACAAAATGGCTTCATTTCACTCTTAATACGCCACTCTCAACAGAAAACTACAACTTAGAACTCAATATCATTAAACAAATTGCACTGAAACAACGGCTACAATCCGTCCATTATCGATAAAATTATAAATAAAAAACAAATCCGGATAACAGTAAACTCTATTTATCCGAAATACTAAATAATACAGAACAATTTAAAACAGAAGTTGATTAGATCTATGCCTAATGGAGTCAGAGATGTTATTAGGGGGTTTTACCTATTTGTTTTTATTAATAAAAAAAAGTTAATTTGCTAAGGCTAAACCAAAAAAGGAGCAATAAATTTTAATCAATTTAAATTCGTATTAAAGCAGATTAAAGCCAAGAGAGGTTATACCCACGATGAAAGAATAAGTGTTGGACGCGCGGCCTCTGAAGATGCCAAATGATATTTTGGCGAAACGTCAGGCGAATGATCCTACTCCAGGATCAAACAACGAACGGATGAACACCCGGATTACCACCAATACATATATATATATATATATATATATATATATATATATATATATATATATATATATATATATATAATTTGATCTAATTAGCAGCGATCAAATTGAAGTCTAAAATTCGCGCAAGTTTAGTAGCGAGGACCGCGTCTTACCCAATGCATCCCGGGCGTGTGAGAGGCGGCCTCCTCAAACACTCCCATCTGCTGAGACGGCAGCCCCGACGACGAGCGAACCTGTCCGGCACCCCCGGACACTTTAAAACCAAACGCCGACGGCCGGCGCGTCAGTCCTTCCGCAATTACTGAAAACGCGCACCAAACACCTTCAGGACGTCGTGGTCATCGCGACACTCGCGGCACCCGCGGCACCACCACACCGGGGGAGCGTTACGTATAAATGTTTCGAAAAAAAAAACAAAAACACGCGTCGAAGGAAACGGAAGAGACGCCACGACTTCGGTAAACAAACGCAGGGGCGCGAAAAGTATTCAGACGGTCGCGGCAGGCCGTGCGACGTTGACGTTTGTCGGCGACGCGCATGTCTTAGACACGGCACACATGATGTCTATGCGGGCCGGCTCGCGCACTTGTGCGGTTCAACGCGCATGTGAGGCCCGGCGATCGCGGTCACGGACCCGCCCACTTCGATCGAGTGGGGGACGTTTGGGGAGTCTGGGAAGCGCCCCCTCTATCCTATACGGTAGACGACGGTTCGGTGCGGCTGCGGTGCGGCTTTGTTCCGGGGTATCGCTATATGTACGCGTAGCGTTATTAAAAAAAAAATGATGACGACGACGGTGATGATAATAAGCGGCATGTTGCGACACGAGAATCCACTTGATGTCCGGGAAAAAATGAATTATCAATTATTAAACATATAAAATCGATATTTTTGTGGCATTCCCATATTTCTTTATAATATTGAAGCGGAAGCTAAGATCGTTTAAAAAAAATCTCAAAGCAATATCTACCGGCCATCTTTGTACTTGGGCTAAAGTTATGGTAAATCTTATTTCGTTTTGCATTATTTTACGACCATTTATTTTTTCATAAACCGGAACAGTGTTTATCGGTCTAAATTCTGTATGCTGATTTGTGCCTTGAACCTTGAACGGTATACACCGGTAGAAAGTGAAGTATTTATAATGCCCAAAAGGCGGTTGCCTATTGCACTGAAGACATTTCTGATTACCCCAGTCGAGATTCCACTCGTCCCACCACCATATTTTCTAAGTCATCGAATTGTGGGATGCTGGATACTATCTCTGGAATACTATTTACAAAGTATTCATTAAATTTATTGGCGATTTCCATTTCGTCATAATTCAAAAAGTACTCTCCAAGCCGCCTAGACAACGACTTTTGCCAATTTTTAGTTTTCTGATTTCGTTACTTACGTATATGTATATAAAATTATATTTAATTTTCTGAAAACTTAATTTATTGAAACGGAAGCACGAAATGCTTGTCACATTCATCAGATAGTAAAAAAAATCCCACGCTGAGGTTAAACAAATGCTTAAACATAAGGAAACATTTGCGGCCAACTTGGGTTTTCTCTTGATTTAAACGCGGGTATGATGGCATTTGTTTAAATATGTCGTCCCAAAAACACGCAACGACCTGTTCCGGACATAGTACGTTCTATATACAGGATGTTTCAGAAATTCGGGACACAAATTTGAATTGTCCATTTACCAGGCAAGAATAAGCATGTTTTTTGTTAATGAGCGTTTGTCCTAGCTTGCTTCGTTATCGGGATATTGGCTGTCGAAGATTATAGAATAAATCGTTTTTTTATTAATTTGTCTAATGGACATCTATTATTAACAAGATTGCTTTCAAAAAAGGCGCTTCGCGGTTTTTTGTGCTAGAGAGACGCATTGTTTTTCTATCGTGCTCCAGCGCATCACTTTCGCAAAATCGATGTAATTCAATTGTGCATGCATCCTTAACGAAGTGCCTTTTACATCTCGGCGAACTTTAAAGTTACGGTAAATTTTGGTAAATTCAAAAATTTTTCACAATAATAGCGATTACCAATTATATTTTTTAAAATATCTGGCCCGCCCTGTATGATAGACGAAACTTGAAACTCTGCCTCGACACTGTTTAAACCAAATTATCCCGTGTTTTATTCATTTACGGCTATTCACGAAAACGGCAATTTCCAAGATCTCTTTGTTTTTTTACAAATACATACTACATACATATTCCAATAAATGCCGCAAGTAAAACTTATAGCCCTAGATCTCCCACTTTTTCCGGTATGTGAATTTTTTCAATAGAATAAATAGTTTTCGTGAAAATACCTATTTTCTGAAACAATGCAGTACACCGTAAAAGTGAGTGACGCCATCTCGTCTAGATTGAGTGCGAGATATTGCGATTTTTAAATAGATTTTTTCAAGCAGCTCAAGCAGCGATTTTTTTTGCGAATTTACTCCATAAAAGAACAACTTTCAGGTTCCGTCACTAGGCAAAGCTGCATATATGTACCAAATATGAAGTCGATTGCTTCAAATTTCAGGCACTTATCGTATTTCATAGCAATGTTGAAAAAATAGTCGAAAATCGCGAAAAAAAATGGATACCGGCGTCGGATCAGGGCCATTTCTTATAAGCTTATGTAACTCGTGGAGGGTTAAAAAGGAGGCCAATTTTAATTTTGTAGTTCCAACGGTTCGAAAGTTATTCGGGAAAAACCAAAAGACGAGAACGGAGAACGGACAGACAAAAAAAAATTTTTTTTCGACGGTGATCCTTTCTGTACCAACGGCGATCCAATAGGACCCACCGTTACCGAGATATAAAATTTTTATACGAGCGTAAATCGAATTTTTCAAAAGTAACAAGATTTAATATTTTTTTTAATCATGCAAATAAAAATTATTACTTACGGCCTTAAAATTGTTTGTATTGAAGTGCCAAACACCCCGTATAGTACTTTTCCGTTCTATTTGACTGACAGGTTTTATCGTCCGTCGTCTATTTGTAAAGAGTCAAACATTAGGTAGTTTTTAACAATGACGTTTAAGTAGTGTGTAAAGACCATTATCGGTAAATATTTAAGTTGTACACTGTACCGTTTGCCAAGTTTTGTTCAAACACAGGAACCCCGGCCTTATGGAATATTATCAGATGTCGCTTTAGATCTGCCGTGCTCCTTTCTACTTAAACAGATCCGGACTACGATGAATTGCGAAAAGGTAACTATAGAAAAACGTAGTTAAACTTTTGAAAGTTCATTTAGGCCTCCTAAACTTAAATCTGTAAAGTATTCATTAAAAGAATTAGTAAATGAAAATCTCCCCATTCCGTTTCTTTTATATCTTGATGGAACCTCCCACCTTGCTCCTCACTCACGGCACCAAGTTTCTCGTTAACTAATCCAAATGTGAGCGTGAAAAGTGTAGTTTTGTACTCATATTGCATTCCATTTCCCTAAATTTCTCTGACACATTTTCTACAATGTCTTTGTAATTTGGATATTTGTGGGTGCAATCTTTTCAGATTCGATCACGGTAGTCACAAAGCCTTGACCTTCCATTAATCGCCTTAATTGAGCGCCTACAAAAATTCCTTCCTTTAATTTTGCCTCTGAGAGGGCGGGAAATTTTCCACATAGGTATTTATTTTCATCTTTTTCTACAGCTTTCACATACTGCTTCAGCAGTCCTAATATAATATTTATGCAACGCCGGTAAAAGATTTTTTCTTCTTTCTTCTTCAGTCAGACTATCTTGTAGAAGATTTAGGAGTTAACCCTTTTTGGCCAGTTCTTTTTCACCCAAAGTTGTTGAGCTATTAATTTTTGATTTGTATGGACTGAAAAATAACAGGATACATCAAAAGAAAGGGGGACTTCACAAGAAAAACGTTATGGACAGAATTGTGGAGGAAACTTTTAAAAGAGAAAAAGTTAAAGAGGTTAGGATTTTCGAGAAATCAGCAGAAAATAACATCTGTATCAAAAATAAACAAAAACTCAGGAAAATAAATAAAATTTTAACCAATATGGTAGCAGTTGGTAGTAACTAGCTTTTGGCATAAAGCAAATTCTTCAAAGTGATGGAGTGAGGAGGAGATGAATATATTTTGTGAAAAACCAACAAATTCGAATGAAATCAGGAAAATACTCAAAATGTAGGATATGGTTAATAAAACATTAGAAATTGGTATCTACCCAGAATGTCCAGACTGATAAAATCATACCAATCCACAAAAAAAAGAGCCAATAAGACTTATACAGTTACTGACTAATCCAGCTGCTCAGGCCATTATCAATGATCATTTGAAAACTTTCCACTGTGCAGAGCCTTATTAGCGACAGTGCCTTTTCTGGGTTATATATAGAAAAAAGCACATTGTTGCTTTGTTTGTAGTTTTGAAAAGGGCATTTGATATTGTGGATATAGATTCGTTTTTATATAAGTCGAAAAGTAATTTAACAAATAGGAAGAAAAGTAATTATTTAAACAAACATCGTAGTGTTGAACTGAAACTTAGCATTGTACTGCCTATGCCCGTAGTTTCAAACGAAATGCAGGAAATGCTGATCTTATTAGATGTTACGACACGCTAAGCTGTGACAAGCTAAGTATAAAAAACACTGTAAGCGGAATATTAAGCTGAATATCATTACTGAAGGGAGGTGCATTAATAGAATAGAAAAAAAAACAAGTAGAGGAACTGTCGAGAAATACTTGTGCGAGGACCAAAAAAGGACAGGAAATGCCAGGGACTATTGTTAGCGGTGAACTAAAGGAAATGTGCAATGATTTGATGAAAATGAAAAGCAGACAAATATATGCGGCATCGTATATCAAGTTGAAAATTTACGGTACGGCCCTGTTGCTCGTGGCCAACGGCTTTGTTACAGATGCCCGCGTGGATGCTGGTCTGCGTCTTCGAAAAATGACCATTCAACACCTTTTCAATTATGGCTAATTAAAATGGCTGTCAGGTAAATCTGCCACACGGTCCATACCTTTGTGAGTAATTTTGATGACGTAGATGTTTTCGAAATGATGGATTGTCGAGCCGAGCTTAGAACTTATATACGGGACTCTACCTCCGTTGACGGCATAATTCCTTTAGACTTTAATCCACTCGTCTGGTCGATGGTAGTCGTTCGGTATGAAACTTCCGAGTCGATCCAGGCAATCGACAATCAATGCACAAGCTAAAAGTTGTTTAGATTTACCTAATTTAATTTATTAATTGCCAAGTATTATCGGTGATACTTTATTTAGTCACTCCAATAATTTTTTTCATATCAAATGAGAATTTATGCAAATAAAATTTAAATTAAAAATTAGCAGTAGGGCAAGGCAATTAGTGCAAGTGCATACTAGGCAAGTATATTCGTGGCACAGGTAATTTCGTGATAAAATCAAAATAATATATCACGTTCACACCGATTGCTGCATTATAAGTGGGCCTTTATAAATACATACCTATACTTTTTCACATTCACGTTCGCTAAGAGAAGATTCTTAATTTACTATATTCTTTATATGATATGATTGTTTACGATTTGCTTACT